AAACAGCACCAGCTTCTCCCCCTCCCCCTTGAGAAAGAGGCTCTCATCACAGCTGCTGGTCCTGAATCCCATCTCCTCTAAAACAGCTGCCAACTTCTGGTACCAGCAGCGTGGCGCCTGCTTCAAGCCATAGATGGACTTTTTCAGCTTGCACACCCTGCCCGTACCATCCTCATACCCAGGTGGCTGCGTCATGAACACCTCCTCCTCTAAAATCCCGTTGAGAAATGCCGTTGATATGTCCATCTGGATAATGAACTTCCCACTAACGGCTGCATCTGCCAACAAGACACGAAGGGTAGGGGGTTTGGCAGTGGGAGCAAAGATCTCATTGAAGTCCCGCTTCTCCTTCTGCATAAACCCCTTAGCCACCAACCTACTCTTGTAGATGGTGACCTGCCCCTTGTCGTCAGTCTTGATCCTTAGGACCCACTTGCATTGTACCGCTTTCTTTCCCTCAGGCAGCACCACTAGTTCCCAAGTCCCATTCTCCAGCAGGCTCTGGTACTCAGCATCCCTGGAAGCTAGCCATTTGTCCCTATCTGGTCCAGCTAATGCCTCCTCCATGCTAGCTGGTTCCTCTGGTGCAGGGGCAAGAAAACAGTACGCAGGCTCATCCTCCTCATCCGGGTCATAGCCATGCGGTAGAATCAGGAATGCCTCTTCTGTCCCAAGCTGCTGCTCCGCTACATCAGCTCCTGCAGTCAGCTTCTTAGTAGCCATACGGGTACGTCCTGGTCTGGAGACGGGTGTTTCCCATCCCTTCATAACAACACCCTTCGGCTTCTTAGTTTTCCCCTGCTGCTGCTCTCCTCCCTCGGATCCAGCAGCTCCACTAGTGCTACCGCTAGTCTCCACACCATTGTTTTCACCGGCAGGTGCCTCCTGCACCTTCTCTCCAGCACCACCTTTTGCAGCTGCCTCCTCTCCCTCCTCCCACACACTAGGAGTCAGGTCCAGCTGCATGGTGATCTGCTCCATCTGCTGGGACACCCTGGCCTCCGGCTGTTTCTCCCAGCTCCCATACATCATGCCCTCAACAAACTTCACATCCCTGCTGTCAAATAACACACCCTTTGAGGGTTCCCACAGCAGCCATCCCTTGCTCTCAGCAGCCAGCCCCAAATGCACACACCAGATTGCACTTGCCCCCAACTTACTGCGGTAGGTCTTGGGGACGTGGGCGACTGCCATGCAACCGAACACCCTCAGCATGTCCACCGGCGGCTTCCTCCCAAGCCACCTCTCCAACGGCACCCACGAGTCATCCCCAACCTTTGTGAGTACCCTGTTCCTAGCGACGGTAGCTTGCCGAACAGCATGGGGCCACATCAAGTTGCCCAGCCCAGATTCTATGAGCAGCGCCCTAGCTGTCTCCAGAATTGTCCGGTTCGCCCGTTCTGCTACACCGTTAGACTGTGGGGTGTAAGCCGTGGTCAGCTCCCTCTGGATGCCCTGCTTCTTGAGCCAGGCCGTCATCTCAGCTCCAAGGAACTCACCACCCCGATCTGTCCTAATCCGCTTCACCACACACTCCGCTTGCTTCTCCACGAACGGCAGCCAATCGTCCCGAATCGTGGAGGCGGCGTGATCTTTCTGCTTCAGCGGATACGCCCACATTAGCCTGCTCCAGTCATCCACTATGGTTAGGAAGTACCGCTCCCCCTTGTGCCCTTGCACCGGCAGCGGCCCCACCAAGTCCATGTGGACCAGCTCCAACGGCTTTTTGCTCCTGCCAGCCACACTATGGAAGGGGAAACGGGTGAACTTTGAAAGGAGGCAAATTTCACAGTTATCATCGGGTGGTTGTCCGTTCAGCTTTAAGCCCTTAACGGCTCCATCCTTCTCCAGCTGCTTCAGCAAAGGCATTGCCACATGCCCCAAACGTCGGTGTGCAGTTGCCCAATCTGTCTCCCCAGATCTGGCCGACACTTTCACACCAACCCCTCCAACGGCGTTGCACTCCCCCTGGGATGCAGACCCCTCTCCAGCCTGCCCCCCACCGTGCCACGCCAGCGCCGGCAGCTGCCACATAGATCTGTACACGTCCTTGCTCTCGTGCAGATCCCAAAGCACCCGATTGCCCAGCTTCCCCTTATAAGTGCGAGCCCCATCCGTGTTGGTGTTCACCCCAGCCTTGCCAAGCTTACGGAGGGAGATGAGGTTGGCCTTCAGGTCGGGGACGAGGAGAACGTCGTGCAGCACCACCGGCTTGCCATCCGCTCCCTTAAATGCAGCTCGTCCCGCACCAGCCACCTTCAACATGTGTCCAGAGGCAGAGCACACCTCATTAATCGGTGCAGCGCGTACGTCGTCCAGCAGGTCCTTGCGCGGCGTCATTGTCCAAGCAGCGCCTGTGTCCAACACCCAATAGTCCAGGGGGTGCAGCTCTGCTCCAGCCTTAGCAGATGCGTCTCCTTGCTCCCCCTTGTCTCCCATATGGAAGAATTGGCCCGCAGTGCGCTCCTTCTTCTTCTCCGCACCGCCGTTGCCCTTCGGGTTGTTGTCGGACGAATCAGCGACCATGTTGGCGCCGTTTTTCTGGTTCCTGCGCGCGCCGCCATCCTGGTGACGATTCTGGGGGGTCCATCCATCGGGTTTCTTATAGCACAAAAACCAGGGGTGCCCTTCCTTCTCACAATACCAGCAACTCCCTTTCATTTTGCCACCAGCACCCGACTTGCCCCCACGTCCAGATTTCGCACCGCGACCCCAACCGGTACCTCCTTGTTGGTCGTTGGAGTCGTCGTCTTTCTTTGCACCGCGTCCAGCACCACCGAAGCCACGTCCTTTGCCACGTCGGCTCCCTTGCATCCCGTAGCCGCTGCTGCCGTCGTCTCCACCCCTCAGTTGGCGGCGACGGAAGTCCTCCTCCAGAATCTTCGTCCGCACCCACTCGAGCGTCCACAAGCTCTGGTTCTGCGGCAGGCTCAATCCGCTCGTAAATTGAAGCCACGATTCCGGCAGCAGCGAGAGCATCTTCAAGCACTTTGTTTGCTCCGGGTAGGTGATTCCTGCGGTCGCCAACTTCGCGTAGAGGTCGCGCAATTTGTCCAGGACAGGTTGCACCGGCTCTCCCTCGCTCAGGCGCAACGCGGACAGCTCCCTCTCCAGCATCAATGTTGCAACAACGGAGGTCGGGGCGTGCACCTCCTTCAACACCGTCCACGCCTTCGGACCGCACTCAACCTCCGGCAGCAGGTGCATGACGTGGTGACGCTGGTTCAGCTCCAAACTCTGCGACATCAAGTAGTAGCCAGCCGAGGCGCGCTCGTCCCAATCTTCCTGAAGGGCGGGGTCACTCGGTCTAGGCTCCTCCCCAATCATTAGTTTCAGCAATCCGATTTGACGGAAATAAAGTTGCATTTTCCAGGCCCAATCATCATAGCCCTCACCATTGAACTTCTCGACGGTGAAGTTTTTCAGCACCTCCTTGATCAGCGAGCCCTGGCTTGTTCGCGCTCCCCTTGGCGCAGAAACACCAGAATCATGGCTGCCGCTACGATCTTGGGCTGAAGATTCACCAGCTACCGCCGAGGTGTTGCCCGCCATAGCTACCTATATCGAGGATCACTATAACGCAGCTCTGATACCAGCTTGTTGGTGTAAGGGCCTAATAAACTCAAGCTATTAAGACTTTATCACACTTAAAACCTCTCCTCGGGGTCACCTCCAAGGGTCCTTGGGTGCCTGGTACAAGACCAGCCCCTATCCTCGGGTCCGAGTTTGTAGAGAGAGGGATCAAGAGGGACTTAGTCAAAACAGCAAGAGTACCTTGAACGTCGCGCAGCGTATCGTGCACACCGTCGATCGGATTAAGCTGAGAATTTTCTATATCGAAGCTCACTCTAAGAGCTTTAAAATAAGCCAAGTTGCCTCGCGAAAAGTTCTGCCATTACGAAGTTATGGCTCGGACAGCGTTAGCCTAGCGTTGGAGTGCTAGCGTACTAGCGTTGACTCGGGTAGCATTCCGCCGTCGCACCGCATAGAAAAGAAATTCCAGCAAGGAAGGAATTCGCTTGAATCAATTTCACTATATTCAGGTACAAACAGAGAAGGAATAAATAGCTCTAGCTAGCAAGGACCTTGGGAATCAACCTGGGAACAACCAGGGATCATCCCAAATAATTCCAAGCAACAGAACCAACCTGGCTGGACAAAATAGCAGGTGATAGGTTGGTGAACAACCTCTGGTTCTGTTTTTCCAACCTGGGGAAACAACAACCAGGTTCAGGTCCTAAAAACAGAACCTGTTTTGTCTTTGCCCAACCAGCCAAATGCTGGTTCCGCTGGTTTCCCCTGGCCCTGTAGCATGCAGATACAGACAAACAACATCCAACCTTCACCTAAATTGTACCCCTATAGTGCCTGCCCTGCTACATTATAGTCAACCAAACAAAACAGTACAATTTCGAGTTGGATAGAACTGAATCTGCGCAATCAAGTAAGTTGAACCGCAAAGCTTCCATCTTGGGTTCCTTTGCGAGCTCGTCCTTTCTGCTTGTACTGTTCATAGCGCGTACAATGTTATGCCGAAGCGCACATTTTGCGAGTACCTGCAAATGCTTCAAGCGAAAATTGCGAAAGCAAACAAACACACAAACATACCATTCACACGCAAATGCATTCGCACACGCATACTCGTACAAACAGACGGCAGGATGTCGTGCAATGTGAATTTGCACCCAACTGAGGGGTCAGCAAGGGAGACTGCAACCGGCCGGCCGAGCGGCGTAAGGGTAGTGCGGTCTCGAAAGAAGGAGCGAGAAGCACCGGAGTCAAGTGTGAAAGTGAGGGAGGACGAGGACGACGCAGTACCTGAGAGCGCAGTCTCACCAGTACCTGAGAGCGCAGAGGCACTGGCACCCAGAGCAGCAGCCTCATAAGCACCTAGCGCAGCAGTACCAATGCCCGGGTCGGGCTGGAAACACCGGTAACCCTCATTCTCCTCACTATAAGTCACAGCATACATAGCAGCAAGGATAGCATCAACATCAAGATCAAAGATCGCTACACCAGCCCTAAGAAGCTCATCCCAGCGAGGGATCTCACTAGCCCCAGGGAACTGCTGACGCCAAGCGTCCGTCAGGCGGCCAAAGCAGCGCTGGGCGGCGTGGGCACCCCCACACTGCTCACCCGCGCGGTCGCCGGAACGAAGAACGTAGGTGCAGGGACCAGTACCCCCACCCCTCTGACGCGCAGCGTACCACTCACGAAGCTGCTGAGGCGGAGGGATGTCCCGCGAGCGCTGCTGCTGCTGCCGCTGCGAGCGCTGGCCACTACCACCGCCGCTACGCTGCTGGGTACCACCCCGACCAGCTCCACCTCCTCCACCACCACCGCCTCCTCCGCTGCCGCCTCCACCGCCTCCACCTCCGCCGCCTCCACCTCCGCCGCTGCCTCCACCACCACCGCTGGCACCACCACCACCGTCTCCGCCGCTGCTGCCACCACCACCACCACCCCCGCCACTAGTCCCGCCGCCACCCCCACTCCCTCTGCCGCCACCGCCGCCACCGCCACCGCCCCCTCCAGCTCCACCCGCACCATTGCCCCCCTTGCCTTTGCTGGAGCGACGTCTCCCACTGGGGGCAGACGCCGCGCCGACCGACTCAAGACCAAGCAGGTCGGCAGCAGCAGCAGAGGCAACAGAAGGGAGCAAGGGGGAAGGAGAGCACCCCTCAAAGATGGGGGTGCGAGGGTCACCACGAGAAGCACCTACAGGGACTATGCTCTTCTCCGCTGCGAGGAGGGCCTTCTCGAGGAGGTCGACGGTGAGGGTGGTGGGACAGACTGCGAGAAAGTGGTCCCTGACGACGCGAAGGGAGTCAGGGAGGCGCGCAACTACGTAGTAGAGAGCGATGTACATGGGGGGTGGGTTCTTAGCGCAGAACTCAGCAGGAAGGGCGGCGCGGTAGCGAGTGTCGCTAGTGCGGAGGTGCGTAATGAGGTCAGCGACAGTGGGAAAGGCAGAGAGGTCAAGAAAGAGGTAGGGAAGCATGAGACGGCTCAGTGCAACAGTGGTAGGGGAAGAGTAGCGCGCAACTACAGCGTCGTACAAGGTCTGAGCACTCTTGTACTGACTAAAGTGTGCACGCTCAGAGGTAGGGAGGTGGCGACGCACAGCAAGACGTGCAGCAGCATCGCGGGTGGCCCACTGAGAGCGGACAGTGGGATCAGCATCAGCAGCTGGAGCAGGAGAGGCGCCAGAGGTGAGGTCAAAGAGAGAAAGGCTGTCAGCCCTGTCGCACTATAAGAACAGCTGCAGGTCGTCTAACCAGACCTCAAAATCAATGGCGCGACCCTCAGCGTCAAACGCTAGGACACTAGGGGTAGCCATGACGACGACAGCGAGGCAGTGCAAGCAGTAGGGGAAGAGCACGCAGTGACAGTGCGACTGTGCTCACCAGGCAGGGCAGGCCGGGAAACTCTGCAGAAGGGCGGCTCGGCGACTCAGCGACTCGGCTGCTGGGCGGCTCGGCTCCCGGGCGGCTCGGCGGCAGGGCGGCTCGGGTGCAGGGCGGCTCTGCGCCCGGGCTGCTCGGCGGCAGGGCGGCTCGGGTGCAGGGCGGCTCGGCTCCCGGGCTGCTCGGCGGCAGGGCGGCTCGGGTGCAGGGCGGCTCGGCTCCCGGGCGGCTCGGTGGCAGGGCGGCTCGGGTGCAGGACGGGGCCGGGACAGGGGACGGCGGGGCCGTCAGGGTGCAGCGGCGGGGCCGGCAAGGTGCAGCGGCGGGGCCGTGACAGGGGACGGCGGGGCCGTCAGGGTGCAGCGGCGGGGCCGGCAGGGTGCAGCGGCGGGGCCGGGACAGGGGACGGCGGGGCCGTCAGGGTGCAGCGGCGGGGCCGTCAGGGTGCAGCGGCGGGGCCGGCAGGGTGCAGCGGCGGGGCCGGGACAGAGGACGGCGGGGCCGTCAGGGTGCAGCGGCGGGGCCGACTGGTGCAGTGGCGGGGCCGTCAGGGTGCAGCGGCGGGGCCGTGACAGGGGACGGCAGGGCCGTGACAGGGGATGGCGGGGCCAGCTGCAGCGACGAAGAGGCCGCGCGGCCGGCGTGAGGGCGGCGCGGCGCGGTAGAGCCGAGAGGGCGGCGCGGCGCGGCCGTGAGGCCAGCGCGACGTGGGGCCCGGGCCGCGCGCGCGAAAAAAATGGAGTCGCGCGCGCGACTCTCGGGGCGCCACAAGGGCAGCGCTACAAGCACTAGGGGGAGCGCGCCTCGAGGAGAATAGGGCGCGCTCCGGGCAGGAAAAATAATCGTGGGTGGGCCCTTAAAAAAAAACGGTCCTTAGGAGGGACCCGCTCTATACCATGTGAAAAGATTGAACATGAATGAGAATGACTACGGAAAGATTGGGTACAAATACAACCCTAGAAACCCTGTACCCCATATGTGCTACCCCACTATAGCCTACAGCAAATATGTCATATAAATCTGACAACTGCAACCCATTGCATACCTCAGTAAAAAACTTCACGGGGCAGAACTCAATTACCCCATCCATGACAAAGAGGCCTTCGCCATCGTCAACGCATTTAAGGCATGGAGGTGTTATCTCGAAGGAAAAAAAACGACTGTCTACACCGACCACTGCAGCCTCAAGTACCTGAAGACCCAACCAACACTCTCCAGGCGGCAGGTCCGGTGGATTGACTTTCTCGAAACCCACTTCCATTACGACATCGTGTATAAGCCGGGGCACAAGAACAAGGCAGACGCACTGAGTCGCCCTGCACACGTTGCCGCCTTACAAATCGATGGCATGAACCCACTTCTGAAGGGACTCTTCACGCATGGATACACCATCGACCCCGAAGTCTCTGTAGCAGAAAAGCGCCATCTTCTACATTGGGATCAAGACATCGCATACCGCAAGGGCTCCACAAAAATATGGGTACCTAATTACCCTCCCTTACGCCAGTTACTGCTCGAAGAATATCATGATGTTCTCTACGCGGGCCACTTCGGTAGTAACAAGACGCTTGCCGGTATTGCGAAGCATTATTATTGGCCCCACATGGCCGATGACGTACAAAAATTCGTCACCTCGTGCGACACATGCCAACGGATGAAGAGTAGCAAACAGAAGAAAGCAGGATTACTACAGCCTCTTCCAGTCCCTGAACAGCCTTGGCAAGTGGTTAGCCTCGACTTCATCACCGGGTTACTGTTGGTGTAAGGGCCTAATAAACTCAAGCTATTAAGACTTTATCACACTTAAAACCTCTCCTCGGGGTCACCTCCAAGGGTCCTTGGGTGCCTGGTACAAGACCAGCCCCTATCCTCGGGTCCGAGTTTGTAGAGAGAGGGATCAAGAGGGACTTAGTCAAAACAACAAGAGTACCTTGAACGTCGCGCAGCGTATCGTGCAGACCGTCGATCGGATTAAGCTGAGAATTTCCTATATCGAAGCTCACTCTAAGAGCTTTAAAATAAGCCAAGTTGCCTCGCGAAAAGTTCTGCCATTACGAAGTTATGGCTCGGACAGCGTTAGCCTAGCGTTGGAGTGCTAGCGTACTAGCGTTGACTCGGGTAGCATTCCGCCGTCGCACCGCGTAGAAAAGAAATTCCAGCAAGGAAGGAATTCGCTTGAATCAATTTCACTATATTCAGGTACAAACAGAGAAGGAATAAATAGCTCTAGCTAGCAAGGACCTTGGGAATCAACCTGGGAACAACCAGGGATGATCCCAAATAATTCCAAGCAACAGAACCAACCTGGCTGGACAAAATAGCAGGTGATAGGTTGGTGAACAACCTCTGGTTCTGTTTTTCCAACCTGGGAAAACAACAACCAGGTTCAGGTCCTAAAAACAGAACCTGTTTTGTCTTTGCCCAACCAGCCAAATGCTGGTTCCGCTGGTTTCCCCTGGCCCTGTAGCATGCAGATACAGACAAACAACATCCAACCTTCACCTAAATTGTACCCCTATAGTGCCTGCCCTGCTACACTATAGTCAACCAAACAAAACAGTACAATTTCGAGTTGGATAGAACTGAATCTGCGCAATCAAGTAAGTTGAACCGCAAAGCTTCCATCTTGGGTTCCTTTGCGAGCTCGTCCTTTCTGCTTGTACTGTTCATAGCGCGTACAATGTTATGCCGAAGCGCACATTTTGCGAGTACCTGCAAATGCTTCAAGCGAAAATTGCGAAAGCAAATAAACACACAAACATACCATTCACACCCAAATGCATTCGCACACGCATACTCGTACAAACAGACGGCAGGATGTCGTGCAATGTGAATTTGCACCCAACAGTTACCACCTACCAAAGCTGATTACGACGCCATTCTAGTCGTCATCGACAAATTCTCCAAAATGGGACACTTCATTCCGACACACACAACGGCTCGCGTCGAGGAGACAGCGCAAATATTCTTCCGCTACGTCATCTCACAACATGGCATTCCAACCACGCTGATCTCCGACAGAGACCCGAAATTCACGAGTAAATTCTGGAAGGAGCTCATGTTGCTCATGGGGACCAAACTCGCCATGTCATCAGCCTATCATCCCCAAACGGATGGTCAGACAGAGCGCCTCAACCAGATTGTCGAACAGCTTCTGCGAGCAGCGTGTAAGGACGATATCTCTAAATGGGATGCACATCTGCCGGTTCTCGAGTTTGCGTACAACAACGCCACGCACGCCGCAACATGGCAAACTCCTTTTTTCCTCTGTTACGGTCGCAACCCACTCACGCCTCAGAAACCAACAGTACCCGCCACGGTGCAACCCGCACATGACTTCATTTCCACTATGCACCAATTGTGGGAGCGCACGCATAAACGTCTTCTGACTATCCAGCAGCAACAAAAGAAGCTCGCTGATCGAAGTCGCAACGATCATTCCATCCAGATTGGCGATCAGGTGCTTCTGGATACACGCAATCTCGACATTAGCCATCTTCCGTCTAAGCTCCGACCTCGCTTCTGCGGACCTTTTCTCGTCGAGGCGCAGGTCACTCCAGTAACCTTCCGCTTGCGTTTACCAGCTACCTGGAGAATTCACAATGCCTTCCATGTTCAACTTCTCAAGCCCTATCAGGACCCAAACACGGTCTTCAAAGGTCGCCAGCCGCCGCCGCCACTGCCAGTGATCGTTAATGGGGAACCCGAGTACGAAGTCGAAGCCGTTCTGGCGCACCGACGACGACGCAGCGGCACCTTGGAGTTCTTGATTCGTTGGAAAGGCTATGATCCTACCGAGGATACCTGGGTACCTGAACACGACATGGATAACGCCTGCCGTCCTCTACAGGACTACCTTGTCAAGCAGGGTGTTACTTCTACCACCCAGCTTTGAGGGGGGGAAGTGTGAGAGGACATCCCCGTTATAATATTTTCTCACTATTATATTTTCCCGTTATCCTATTCTCCCTTTTCTCCTCTATATTTTGGTCTTTATCTCATCTCAATCGGCCTACTATTCTATTTTCTAGAGCCTTCTATTTATTTCTCTTATTTCCTACTTTTCCCACCGACATACCTATTATACGGCACCGACAGCGCCGACAGTGGTGTATACGGTGTAATCTGGGCGTAATCCCAAGTGCCAATAGACTTGCGTGCTTATGCGCACTTGTGATTGTAGTATCGGGAAGGGTGTGTTCCCGAAGGTTCGTTTTATCTCGTTTATCCTTGTACTTTCTGAGTATAAATAGGCCTTGTATTCAGTTTTAGTGACAAGTTTCGATTGAGAATTCGATCCTGTGACAGCGCCGCCCTAAACCAGAGCCGCCCAGCACCAGAGCCGCCGAGCAGCCGAGCCGCCCACCCGCCGAACCACCCTGCCGCCCAGCAGCCGAACCGCCCTGCCGCCGAGCCGCCGAGCAGCAGAGCCGCTGAGCCGCCCTGCCGCCGAGCCGCCATGCCGCCGAGCCGCCGAGCAGCCGAGCCGCCGAGCCGCCCTTCAGCCGAGCCACTCTGCAGCTGAACCGCCCTGCTTCCCTACTTCCGGACCGCCAGAGCTGCCCCATCTGGTGAGCACAACGCCTTCTCCTGTTGCACGGCCCTCCCCCCCCCCCCCCTCATTGTTTGCACTGCTAGTCGTCTGTCGTCATGGCTACCCCTAGTGTCCTAGCTTTTGACGCTGAGGGTCGGGCCATTGACTTTGAGGTCTGGGTAGACGACCTGCAGCTATTTATACAGTGCGATAGGGCAGACGGCCTCTCTCTCTTTGACCTTACCTCTGGCACTTCCCCTGCCCCTGCTACAGATGCTGATGCCACTGTTCGCTCCCAGTGGGCCACGTGCGACGCTGCTGCACGTCTTGCTGTGCGTCGCCACCTCCCTACCTCCGAGCGTGCGCACTTTAGTCAATACAAGAGTGCTCAGACCTTGTACGATGCTGTAGTCGCGCGCTACTCCTCCCTTGCCACTACTGCACTGAGCCGTCTCATGCTACCGTACCTCTTCCCTGACCTTGCTGCCTTTCCCACCGTGGCTGACCTCATTACGCACCTCCGCACTAGTGACACTCGCTACCGCGCTGCACTCCCTGCTGAAATCTGCGCCAAGAACCCCCCCCCCATGTACATCACTCTGTACTTCCTAGTCACTCGCCTTCCTGACTCCCTTCGAGTAGTCAGGAACCACTTTCTCTCAGCCTTTCCCACCACACTCACTGTCGACCTCCTCGAGAAGGCCCTCTTAGCAGCGGAGAAGAGTATAGTTGCTGTAGAAGCCTTTCGAGGTGACCCGCGCACCCCCATCTTTGAGAGGTGTTCCTCCTCCCCCCTGCTGCCCTCTGTTGCCTCTGCTGCTACGGCCGACCTCCTTGGTCTTGAGTCGGTCGGTGCGGCGTCTGCCCCTAGCGGGGAGACCCCGCCGTGGCAAGGGCAAGGGGGCCAAGGGAGCTGGAGGAGCGGGCGGGGGAGGTGGTGGAGGCGGTGGGGGTAGTGGGGGTGGCGGTGGGAGTGGAGGTGGGGGTGGGGAGGTCGGTGGCGGCAGTAGAGGCGGAGGCGGCGGCGGCGATGGCGGTGGGAGCGGAGGTGGCGGAGGAGGCGGCGGTGGAGGCGGCGGTGGAGGCGGCGGCAGTGCGGAGGCGGCGGAGGCGGCGGGGGTGGCGGTGGAGCTGGTTGCGGGTCTTCGGTAGTGGCGCGCGCCAGCAGCAGCAGCGCGGTCGTGAGACCCTGTCCCCTCAGCAGTTCCGTGAGTGGTACACTGCACGCCAGCGGGGTGGGGGTTTTGGTCCTGCGCACCGGCGACCGTGCGGGTGAGCAGTATGGGGGCCTGCACCCCACCCAGCGCTGCTTTGGCAACCTGACGGACGCGTGGCATCACCAGTTCCTGGAGGCCTCGGAGATTCCTCCCTGGGGCAAGTTGTCTAGGGCGGGTGTTGCCATCTTTGATCTTGACTTTGATGCTATTCTCTCTGCCATGTATGCTATGTCTCATAGTGATGAGGGTGACTGCTACCGCTGTTTCCCACCCGATCCGGGCATTGAGGCTGCTGCTCTAGGTGCTTGCGACGCCGCTGCTCTAAGTGCTAGTGTGTCAGCGTCCTTAGCTACTGGTGAGTCTGCGCTCTAAAGTACTACGTCAGCTTCAGCCTCCCTCACCTTCACCTTGACTCTGGGGCGTCTCGCTCCTTCTTTCGGGACCGCACCACACTCACGCCGCTTAGTCGGCCGGTTGCGATGTCTCTGGCTGACCCCTCTGGGGGTCCTGTGCTGTCTCGCTTCTCCACAGTCCTCCCGTGTCCGGCGGCTCCCTCTGGCACCCTGTCTAGTCTCTAACTCCCCTCGTTCTCGACAAATCTGGTGAGTGGTGCTGACCTACAGGATGGGGGAGTACACCAGTTCACTCCTGCGCGTCAGCGGGTGACGCACTGTACAGAGGCTAGCACATGCCGGCACCTGGCTACGTTTACCCGTCAGCCGAGGTTGAGCCTGTACACACTGACCACTGCGTCTCCTCCCGTTACTGAGTCTGGTAGAGTCGCTTCGCCCGGTCAGGTGTTTGCTGCAGCGTCTTGTTGGTGTAAGGGCCTAATAAACTCAAGCTATTAAGACTTTATCACACTTAAAACCTCTCCTCGGGGTCACCTCCAAGGGTCCTTGGGTGCCTGGTACAAGACCAGCCCCTATCCTCGGGTCCGAGTTTGTAGAGAGGGATCAAGAGGGACTTAGTCAAAACAGCAAGAGTACCTTGAACGTCGCGCAGCGTATCGTGCAGACCGTCGATCGGATTAAGCTGAGAATTTGCTATATCGAAGCTCACTCTAAGAGCTTTAAAATAAGCCAAGTTGCCTCGCGAAAAGTTCTGCCATTAAGAAGTTATGGCTCGGACAGCGTTAGCCTAGCGTTGGAGTGCTAGCATACTAGCGTTGACTCGGGTAGCATTCCGCCGTCGCATCGCGTAGAAAAGAAATTCCAGCAAGGAAGGAATTCGCTTGAATCAATTTCACTATATTCAGGTACAAACAGAGAAGGAATAAATAGCTCTAGCTAGCAAGGACCTTGGGAATCAACCTGGGAATAACCAGGGATGATCCCAAATAATTCCAAGCAACAGAACCAACCTGGCTGGACAAAATAGCAGGTGGTAGGTTGGTGAACAACCTCTGGTTCTGTTTTTCCAACCTGGGAAAACAACAACCAGGTTCAGGTCCTAAAAACAGAACCTGTTTTGTCTTTGCCCAACCAGCCAAATGCTGGTTCCGCTGGTTTCCCCTGGCCCTGTAGCATGCAGATACAGACAAACAACATCCAACCTTCACCTAAATTGTACCCCTATAGTGCCTGCCCTGCTACACTATAGTCAACCAAACAAAACAGTACAATTTCGAGTTGGATATAACTGAATCTGCGCAATCAAGTAAGTTGAACCGCAAAGCTTCCATCTTGGGCTCCTTTGCAAGCTCGTCCTTTCTGCTTGTACTGTTCATAGCGCGTACAATGTTATGCCGAAGCGCACATTTTGCGAGTACCTGCAAATGCTTCAAGCGAAAATTGCGAAAGCAAACAAACACACAAACATACCATTCACACGCAAATGCATTCGCACACGCATACTCGTACAAACAGACGGCAGGATGTCGTGCAATGTGAATTTGCACCCAACACACTCCCCCTCAGCCTGCCGGCTGCATCCCCATCATTCCATACTAGTTCATGCTCATTCCACTCATGCGCACACAACGCCAATGAGACTCATCCGCAAGCCTCTTGGTGAGGAAGTCTGCTGGCTGCTGGTGAGTCTTGATGTAGATCGGATTCACCGTCCCCCTCTTCACCTCCTTACGCAGCCAGTGCCACTTGATACGCATGTGCTTATTCAGCCCATGAAGCACAGCGTTCCTGGCCATCCCAAGAGCTCCCTTGCTATCACAAAACAGCGGCGTAGCAACCTTTTGCTCCTGGCCAATCTCCTCCAACAGCCTCCTCAGCCAAATCACCTCCTTCATCCCATGGAACATCGCCATGTACTCTGATTCCACGGAAGAGAGTGCTGTCTCCGTCTGCTTCTTTGACCTCCAACTAACCGGTCCTCCCCCAACTACGCAGATGTATCCTCCCACAGATGAGGAATCCTCCTTCTCAGAGGCCCACGTAGCATCAGTAAAGCAAGTGAGAAAAAGCTTGCCTTCTCCAAGCCTCTCCCCTTTCTCTTTCAGCACCTCAACCCCTTTCTGCTTCACCTGTGCAGATGCGGAGTATTGAACTCCAATCTTGGGTGAGAGTTCAGATACTTCACCACCCGCTCAGCTGCATCCACATGCTCCTCTGATGGATTCTGCACTACCCTAGCCAGCTGCCCAACCGAGAAAGAGATGTCGGGTCTCGTGTGAACTGCTGCATACAAGAGGCTGCCCACCAAGGACTGAAATTGCTGCTGCTCCTCGGCTTCAACCCCTTCATCCTCTGCAGCTTTCACAAGCTTGAATTCTGCTGGCAGGGGAGTTGCAACCTTGCGCTCATTCTCAATTCCGTACTTCTCCCCAAGCTCCTTGATGAACTTCTCCTGGTGCAGCTTCAACCACCTGTGATCCAGATCCCTCTCCACGTGCATCCCGAGGTAGTACTTTACCTCCCCAAGGTTCTTGCACTTGAAGTTCTCCATCAGCTGCTGCTGCACCTTCTGGATCTCCTTCATGCTGCTGCTAAAGAGAAGAATGTCGTCCACATAGACCAGAAACAGCACCAGCTTCTCCCCCTCCCCCTTGAGAAAGAGGCTCTCATCACAGCTGCTGGTCCTGAATCCCATCTCCTCTAAAACAGCTGCCAACTTCTGGTACCAGCAGCGTGGCGCCTGCTTCAAGCCATAGATGGACTTTTTCAGCTTGCACACCCTGCCCGTACCATCCTCATACCCAGGTGGCTGCGTCATGAACACCTCCTCCTCTAAAATCCCGTTGAGAAATGCCGTTGATATGTCCATCTGGATAATGAACTTCCCACTAACGGCTGCATCTGCCAACAAGACACGAAGGGTAGGGGGTTTGGCAGTGGGAGCAAAGATCTCATTGAAGTCCCGCTTCTCCTTCTGCATAAACCCCTTAGCCACCAACCTACTCTTGTAGATGGTGACCTGCCCCTTGTCGTCAGTCTTGATCCTTAGCACCCACTTGCATTGTACCGCTTTCTTTCCCTCAGGCAGCACCACTAATTCCCAAGTCCCATTCTCCAGCAGGCTTTGGTACTCAGCATCCCTGGAAGCTAGCCATTTGTCCCTATCTGGTCCAGCTAATGCCTCCTCCATGCTAGCTGGTTCCTCTGGTGCAGGGGCAAGAAAACAGTACGCAGGTTGATCCTCCTCATCCGGGTCATAGCCATGCGGTAGAATCAGCAATGCCTCCTCGGTCCCAAGCTGCTGCTCCGCTACATCAGCTCCTGCAGTCAGCTTCTTAGTAGCCATACGGGTACGTCCTGGCCTGGAGACGGGTGTCTCCCATCCCTTCATAATAACACCCTTCGGCTTCTTAGTTTCCCCCTGCTGCTGCTCTCCTCCCTCGGATCCAGCAGCTCCACTAGTGCTACCGCTAATCTCCACACCATCACCTCCACCAGCAGGTGCCTCCTGCACCTTCTCTTTATCACCACCCTCTGCAGCTGCCTCCTCTCCCTCCTCCCACACACTAGGAGTCAGGTCCAGCTGCATGGTAATCTGCTCCATCTGCTGGGACACCCTGGCCTCCGGCTGTTTCTCCCAGCTCCCATACATCATGCCCTCAACAAACTTCACATCCCTGCTGTCAAACAACACACCCTTGGAAGGCTCCCACAGCAGCCATCCCTTGCTCTCAGCAGCCAGCCCCAAATGCACACACCAGATTGCACTCGCCCCCAACTTACTGCGATAGGTCTTGGGAACGTGGGCGACTGCCATGCAACCGAACACCCTCAGCATGTCCACCGGCGGCTTCCTCCCAAGCCACCTCTCCAACGGCACCCACGAGTCATCCCCAACCTTTGTGAGTACCCTGTTCCTAGCGACGGTAGCGTGCCGAACAGCATGGGGCCACATCACGTTGCCCAGCCCAGATTCTATGAGCAGCGCCCTAGCTGTCTCCAGAATTGTCCGGTTCGCCCGTTCTGCTACACCGTTGGACTGTGGGGTGTAAGCCGTGGTCAGCTCCCTCTGGATGCCCTGCTTCTTGAGCCAGGCCGTCATCTCAGCTCCAAGGAACTCACCACCCCGATCTGTCCTAATCCGCTTCACCACACACTCCGCTTGCTTCTCCACGAATGGCAGCCAATCTTCCCGTATCGTAGAGGCGGCATGGTCCTTCTGCTTCAGCGGATATGCCCACATAAGCCTGCTCCAATCATCCACTATGGTCAGAAAGTACCGCTCCCCCTTGTGTCCCTGAACCGGCAGCGGCCCCACCAAGTCCATGTGGACCAGCTCCAACGGCTTTTTGCTCCTGCCAGCCACACTATGGAAGGGGAAACGGGTGAACTTTGAAAGGAGGCAAATTTCACAGTTATCATCGGGTGGTTGTCCGTTCAGCTTTAAGCCCTTAACGGCTCCATCCTTCTCCAGCTGCTTCAGCAAAGGCATTGCCACATGCCCCAAACGTCGGTGTGCAGTTGCCCAATCTGTCTCCCCAGATCTGGCCGACACTTTCACACCAACCCCTCCAACGGCGTTGCACTCCCCCTGGGATGCAGACCCCTCTCCAGCCTGCCCCCCACCGTGCCACGCCAGCGCCGGCAGCTGCCACATAGATCTGTACACGTCCTTGCTCTCGTGCAGATCCCAAAGCACCCGATTGCCCAGCTTCCCCTTATAAGTGCGTGCCCCATCCGTACTAGTGCTCACCCCAGACTTGCCAAGCTTACGGAGGGAGATGAGGTTGGCCTTGAGTTCAGGAACAAGGAGAACGTCGTGCAGCACCACCCGCTTGCCATCCGCTCCCTTAAACGCAGCTCGTCCCGCACCAGCCACCTTCAGCGCATGTCCAGAGGCGGAGCACACCTCGTTGATCGGTGCAGCGCGTACGTGGTCCAGCAGGTCCTTGCGTGGCGTCATCGTCCAAGCAGCGCCCGTGTCCAACACCCAATAATCCAGGGGGTGCAGCTCTGCTC